CACAGGGAGAATGGGGGGTCCTCCCCCAACAAGGCGACAATTCACTAAGGTGTGCTGGTGGCCTTGGGAATTCCCATAGAGGTGGACAGGACCCATGGGCAGTGAAGAGCTGCAAGGATGGGCATAGAAGCCATGGGTAGGTACGATCTGCAATGGGTTGAGGGTAGGGCTAAATTTATAAGGCATAGGTATGTGAGTTATTTTTCATTAGACAAAGGAAAGATGATGTAAAAAAAAGGTCATTAAAATGGTATCAGTGCAGGTGGGGTCTGGTTATTGTGTGGTGGTATAACTTTAGATACAAATCAAGTCAGGACATCCTATTTTTCCCAGAGGGTGGTATAGATCGGCATGTAGGTCAGAATGCCTTGGGCTTCTCTCCCTGGGGCAGCCTTGATCCTCATTAGACACATCAAAGTAAATCTTGCGGGGCTGCCCCATGGCCAAGTGGTTAAGTTCACCCGCTCCACTTTGGCGGCCCAGGGTTCACCAGTTAGGACCCTGGGCATGGACCCACACACTGCTCACCAAGCCATGCTGTGGTGGCGTCCTACATACAGGAACTAGAATGACCCACAACTAGGATATATAACTATGTACTGGGGTTTTGGGGAGAAAAAACAAAAAGTAAATCTGGAAGCACAATATGGTCATGATAGTTAATTTTATGTCAACTTGACTGGTCACAGGGTGCCCAGATGAAACATTATTTCTGATGTGTCTGTGAGCATGTATCCAGATCAGCATTTGAATCAGTGAATTCAGTAAAATAGATTGCCCTCCCCAGTGTGGGTAGCCGTCATCCAATTCAGTGAGAGCCTGAACAGAAGAAAATGTGGAGGAAGGAGGAATTTGCCCCCCATCCTTGTTTTTCTGCCTCACTGTGTAAGCTGGGATAGCTCATCTCATCTTCTGCTCATGGACTTGGATTTACATCACTTGGTTCTCAGGCCTTTTGAACTGGACTAAATCACACCACCAGCTTTCCTGGGTCTCCAGCTTGTAGGCAGCAGATCATGGGACTCCTTAGACTTCATGATCACGTGAGCCAAATCCTCATAATAAATCTCCCAATAGGGCCAGCCCTGTGGCCTAGTGGTTAAGTTCAGCGTGCTCCACTTTGGTTTGGTGGACCGGGTTCATTTCCCAGGTGCAGACCTACACCACTTGGCAGCAGCTATGCTGTGGCATCGACCCACATACAAAATAAAGGAAGATTGGCACAGATGTTAGCTCAGGGCGAATCTTTCTCAGCAAAAAAACCTTTTTTTTTAAATCTCCATAGATACATTCCCTATTGGTTCTGTTTTCCTGGAGAACTCTGACTAATACAATGGTTCAGCAGAAGGGTACCCTGGTATTTTGTTTTCCCAGGCTACTTATGGCTCTCAAGGGCATAGGTGGAACCTAGAAGTTCACATAGTCCCTAAGGGGGGACTCAAAAGCCAGCTAAGTTGAAAGAAACATTGGGCTTGCCTTAGGGAGGGGAGAAACAACCAGCAGTTGAGGCTCCTGGGAGGCTGGTGGTTGACCAGGGAGCCAGGTGGAGACTAATGCAGAACCCGGAGACTCCTAGAACACCAGCAAGAAACCAAGGAAAGGCCAGGTCACCTGGTAGGGCTACCAGGCTCCACCTAGCCATGAGAACAGATAGCACACTATTACACCAGTGAATTATAATCTATGAGTGCACAGAGGAGAGACCTGAGCACAGCCAGCAGGGCTGGGAGAGGCCATCCAGAGGAACTGATACACTGGAACTCAGTCCTGAAGGATAGATGGGAGTTAGCCCAATAGGAGAGGGCATTCTGGGGAAAAGGAACATCATGTTCAAAGACAAAGCAGGGAGTGTATGGAGTATCCGGAGAATGATAAGTATTTCAGTGTGTATGCACTTGGCAATGGGGGAAGATGAGGCTTGAAAATTATGCAGAGCCATATCAGAAAAAGAATTCCCATGCCTGCTAAGGACATCCCAAAGACCAGCCTTGGGCCAATAAGGAACAGAATTCAGTTATGACTCTACGAAGCCACATTTAAGGCCATGGCATCCAGAGTACTATTACTCTAAGAAAATTAGTTTACATCAAAATTCAAATGGAAACATTAGCCACATTTACTATGGGAAACGTGACTCCATCAACTGATTCTAATTAGACCAACACTTGCATTTTACAGAGAAGTGTACATTTCAGGAATAAGGAGCCAGCCTTCCCCAAAGAATATAACTAAACATGGTGCCCATTAGCTATGGCCAGAGGGCAGGGTCATTTGGCATATACCTGAAGGGGGTAGTTTGCAGAGAAAGCAGAAGTCATAGCTTGTGGGCTAGACAGATACAATAACAAGTGTCCTCAAAGTTATGAAACCAGCAGGAGGCAAAGCCAAGACCCACATCCAGGCCTCCTGGTTCCAAGTCCAGTGCTCTTCCCATCATCTTCTTCTTGTTCAAGAAGCAGCAACATGTCACCAGCGTAGCCAAAGTCCACTGGCCTTATATTCAAGGTCTAATTCTGTCAACGTCTTAGCAACTTCCACAGGACTCAGCATCCTCGTGGATAAAATGAATGGGTTTGGGCCCAGATCTGTGCTTACAACACCACTTGTCTGGAGATTTCACAAACGTCTGGTTTAGTAATTAGATAGTATTACCTCTGATTATGGACATGTTTTCTCCCCACTCCTAGTCCTTGAGGAGTATGAAAGAGGAGCCTTCAGGTCAGCACCAGGCTGGATGATGGGTGGCCAGCCCAGAAAAATCATGTGCTCACTGGTACATGGAGGCCCTCAGATGCTGGAGTCACACCGGTTGCACTAGGGAAAAAATAATCCATTGTTTAAAAAGGAAGAAGAAATGAACAGGTTTCTAAACAACTGGCCTATATGATCTCTAACATCACTTCTAGCTAAAAATAATCACCCTTGTGACATTTAGAAGAGATAAGAAAATTAGGGATGATGGACTACAAGCTAACTTATTGAAGTCTATGTGCCTGGCACTCTGCTAAGGGCTTGCTATGTATTAGTTCCTTTTATCTTCACAACAGCCCTGGAGGTGGCTATTATAGCCATTTTACAGATAAGAAAATAGAGGTGCAGGGAAATTTAATAACGCACCCAAGATTCCCCAGTTAATAAGGGTAGGAGATCTCACCCACACTGAATGAGGCCCTCAGAATTTAGTCAGGTGACCATATGATCCTAAAGAACATGTGTTAAGCTTTTATTGAGCGTGGACACTCTCAAGCAGATGTGGCTCTGTAGAACCGCAGAGTCAGATTACCTTAAATTCATTCTAATTTCTGCACGGAATCCATTTCCAATCCATAGCCTGGAAATACCTTCCATGGGAAACAAGCTAAGTGTTTTTTGTCTATTCACATGGATAGATCCACCACTGATCATCAGCTCGGAACATGTGATAGCGATAACAACGTTTAAACACTCAAGATGTATACAGCACCATGATAGATAGACATCAGTCATGAATTATCTCATCTAGCCTTGCTGATACCGACCCTGATATCAGTTTCCCTGTATTAAACCCAGCATATATGGGGTTAAAACCAAAACACCCATTCCCTGCTTACTCTCTGGCTTCCTGGCTCCAGAATCCACTATCCTCCATGGAGACAGACACCATCAAGGACAAGCACCTGGACTATCTCCTCCCTCAAAGAGATACGGGCTGGTGGGAAAGCTGCTGACCAGCAAGGTCATGAGCTCCCTCCTGTCTGCAAGTAGTCTCAAGGCCAAAGACAGGCTGGTGGGAAAGCTCCGACCAGCAAGGCCATATGCTCCCCCTCCCCTACCTAAAGCCCCAAATAAAAACCCTTCCTTTTAGCTTTTCAGGGAGTTTGGGATTTGAGCGTTAGCTGCCCTCTCTCCTTGCTCAGCGCTGTGCAATAATAAAATTCCTACTTTCTTCCACCACCCCCGGTGTCAGAGATTGGCTTGCTGCGCAACGGGTGAGCGAACTCACTTCAGGTTCGGTAACATCACGGTGTCTATATGAGGCACGTCCTAGGAATTGAGCTCTTTGGCTGCAAGTAAGAAACACCCATCTGATTTAAGCAGAAAAGAGGAGTGCTTCACAGAATCCAAGAGCACGAAACTAGCAAAGTGTCTGGAAGCAGCAGCAACCAGAAACTAGGAGAAACTCCCCAGCTCTTGTCTCTGCTTTTCCACAGAGGAGAGGGGAGGTGGGGTCCAGGCCACTGGAGGGAGAAGGGCAACTTGCATTAAGGCACAACAGCGTAAGAGGACCTAAGAGCACGGCTGTGGCGGGAGCATGTGGTATGTGCACAGGGAGGGAGACGAGTCAGCTGGCAAGACTGTTTAGGACAAATTATGAAGGACTTACTAACTTACAATTGAATAAATTCTAATTTAATAACATAAATTATAATGTGTAATTGTGAATTGTATTCCTTAAGCATGAGTGTGACGTAATCAAATATTTTTGGAAGGTTTCTACCTACACACATACACCCACACACACATACACACACTCACATAAGTAAATAATGAATAACATATTCTGCACTGTTCTAAGTGCTATTCGTGATTATTTATTTACTTTTCATAGCCACTCTGTGAAGCGGCTGCATTACTCTTCTTCATCTACATTTTACAGACAAAAAAAATCGAAGGCTCTAAGTAGTGAACGATTTGCCCAGGACCACAGTGACCCTATCGTGGAGCTCAGATTCCAACGGAGACAATCTGGTACCAGAGCATCAGGCCTACCCACTGCCTCCCTTGAATGAGGAAATGAATATGTTACGACACACTGAGAAGCCGGGGACATTTCCCAAGGCATCAGAGCGTCATGACAGATGGTTAGTGAGGATTGTAACACAGTCCTAACTAACGTTTGTATTACACTTTATAATTTAAAAGTATGTTTACACACTGTCTCTTCTAGTTCATGCCATCCCATGGGGTGAAAACGTGATAGTAGTTCACGGTGAATGCTGTAGCTGATTTCCCTCCAGCAGGACTGCAGGTCCGGAAAGCTGCGTCAACGCGCCTCCACACCGCCCTCAAGCAGAGACAGGAGCAGCTCTCCCCCCTAAGCGGCAGAAACCACCACCTGCGCGTGCTCAATCCAAAAAGTGAGTCTTCCAAGAGCCAGAGAGAGAGCGTGTTCTGTGGGTTCTGCCCCAGCTCCCTTACGTAATTCTCACCCGAAGCTTGTGAGAATCTCAGAGGCCTGGAATTGACTCAGAAGCAGAAGTGCTAGAAATGAGCCCTTTCCCTTAAGCTCCCAAACTCCTCTCAGGAAAGGCCAGGCACCTGGCTCTCTCCGGAGTTGGAATTCTAAGAGCTGTCATGCTAAAGTCTGTCCCTGGCCCGCACCCACTCTCAGCCCTGGGTTATTCTAAAGAGAGGACCTGGAAGAGGCACAGGTGAGACCCCATGGGCAGTGTGGGAAAACCATATTTTGTACTGAGCATTGGAACCACAATCTGAAACAGTGCGACCTGGAGTGGGGGGTGGGGGGGGGGGGCGGGGGCTGGGCAGAGAGAGACTCCAAGAAGAACGAGGAGGTGGGGCTGGGAACTTTCTACACATATGTCTGGACAATGGCATGGGTGGAGCCATTGTGTGGCTGATCAGAGGTCCAGAGCCATTAACCTGGACTGGAAATCCTGCTCCATCACCTACTTGGCATGTGATAGTGGGCAAGTTATATAGCCCAGTATCAGATTGCTCATCTGTAAAATAGAGATAACACTTAGTTCTGATGGTTGTACCAGGAACAAAAACAAAACCATGTCAAAGGACCTAGCACACCTAACCACACATCGCATAGTTTCCATTCTATTGAAACATCATGATGCATCTAGGGTGATGCAACTGTATTCCTCCTCTCTGAACAACAACAAAGAGCCAGAGGGAAAATGGGAAGTAACCTAATGCTCAATGAGAGGGAAATGGTTAAATAAACTATGCCAAACTCAGTGGGAAGCCAATTAAAAAGATAAGTATGAAAGCCATAACAAACTTTAAAATGATTAGTTTAAAAAGACACAAAATTCTGGATGTACTCTGAGTATAATTATGTAAATATATGGCCTCCACTGAACAGATTTATGGAAAAATTAAAATAGAGTAGTAAGATAATGGATTTTTGGTAAATATTCATTGTGGCATTCAACATCATTAGTTATTAGGGAAATGCAAATTAAAACTACAGTGAAATATCATTATACACCCACCAGGACACCTAAAACTAAAGGACAGATAAAACCAAGTGTTGACAAGAAAGAGGAGCAATTGGAACTCTAATATAGTATTATGGAAGGCTAAATCCTTCCAACGATTTGAAAGTATCTACTAAGCTAAATAGTTATGCCCTATGACCTGGCATTTCCATTCCTTGGTATAAGTCCAACAGAAATGAGTGGTTATCTTTACCAGAAGACTATAAGAAAACTCACTGCAGCATTGTGCAAAATATTTACCAAACCAGAAACAACCCAAGTGTCCATCTACAGAAGGATGGGTAAATTAATGTAGTGTATTCGTATCATGGAACACCACACAGCAATGTAGGAGACCAAATTACCACTATGAGGATGAATCTGACAGACATAATAACGTTGAGCAAAAGAGTACGTATTGTATAATTTCATTCATATAAAGTTCAAAAACAGGAAACATTACGGGGATAAAGAGAGACGAGAGGAGTGGTTATTTGTGGGGAAGAGGGGCTATTGACTGGGAGACTGCATAAGAACTTCGTCTTCTGGTATGCTGAAAATATTCCAAACTCAGTCTGGGTGGTGGTTACACAGGTGTATAACATTCCTTGAGCTAATCACTTAAGATTTATGTACTTGGGTGTACATAAGATACACCACAATCTAAAAAAACAGAAAATTATTAATATTAGTATCATTAAGTTTTTAAATCATTGAAATCAGACAAAAATTTAGGATAAAATCTGCTTGCCTTTCTATCCCCTTTTCCCTTGAAAGTTTTTTCATCTGGAGAATCACCTGACATACTCAGTGGGAACACATTTCTGAAACAAAAACAGTTGGCCATTTTTAAACTCATGCAAAGCACAATGCAGTGAGATCTATTTTTGATCTATCTTTTTTCCTTTTATTTTATAATATTGGACAATCTTTTCTTCTCCAGATCCTTCTGAGCTGTAGTTTGTCCGCTTGTAAAAAGGATGAGAATTTGGTGCCTCATCTGGGCCATGAGAATTTGTGAACAAAGTTCTGCTGGCACTGAAAAGCATTTGGATGTGTGGGGGAATATTTGAAACGCCTGATGTGGCATTCCAGCCCTCTGCGCTAGATGTGTCTGTAGGTTCCTTTACAGTTCATGAGATCCCTTTTCTTGCGAAGATTACCCCTTATTGAACTTCTGTCTTCTGAGCATAAAATTCTTAAAATAAAAGTTTCTGACAATTTACTTTAAGTTACTGATATGCTTTTACTCTATCTCGGGCTCCGTCTCTCCTGGAGTACAATTGGTTTTAAATAGAGTTCCAAAGAGACTCATCAGACTCCAAATTGGAGCTTATCTGTGCAGTTTAGGTAGCTTTGTAGATGTGGCAAGAGGCTTGTCTGCAGAAATCCCTTCCCTGTGTGATCAGGACTTGCCTCTTCACATCAACCCCGAACATTCTCTGGTCCCAGAATCTCCTTCAGAATCCACCCCACCACCTCCCTGAGCCCTCTACTCCAGAGAGGGCCAGGAGAAGGGGAGCCTGTCCTCTGCAGATGTCTGATGGTTGGGGCACTTCCTGCCTGCAGTGACCTCCCCCACTACCATTTATTATAAACTAGAATGGTTCCAAAACGGTGTCACTCACCATTGTTTTAGCAAATTCAATTCACATGACATCGTCTGTCTACAAGGTAAAGAATACAGCTACCACCTGTTCTCCTAATGAAATGCTTTTTCCCCATTTGGGAAAAGAAGACCAGGGGAGCTTTTCCTCCACCCCTGGGGGCTCGTGCTCCCCAGCCTTCCTCCCACACTTTTCTACCCAGCATCCGTCAGAGCTGGAAATCTCCTTGTTCCCCTCTCTGTGCTCACTGCTGCTGCTTCCCACGTTATGTGCATTCGGCTGCTTCACCCCATGAACTACAGTCAGAATAATGGCATTTAGAATTCCCTACTGGTTTGCTACTAAAAAGAATCTAGGCCTATGCCCCTTAGGAACAAGAGTTGCTTTTATAGGTTACCATGAATATATCAGTGCGGCATTAATTTAGAATTTCCAAAGTTTAAAAAAAATTTGAATCTTTCAATAACTATGACCACAATGATAAAAGTCAGACCACCAGACTAAGAGACTGTAATCAAGGAATGGTATTGATGATTTTCAACCCGACAGAGCCTCTTCCACAGCTGACAGAGTCTGGGCTGGAAAGAGATTTATATATGGCCTCTTTCCGTGGGCTTTCCTGAGACACCACCTGGGTGGCTGACCTAGTCCACAGTCAGAAGCAATGACATGAGGCTCTAGGTGATTTTTCCCAACATCTGTAGGCTTGAAAATAAACAATTTTGAAAACCTGCAGCTCAGCACTTGGCATTTTACCAGAACTTTCCTATTTTTCAAAAGCCAAATCTGTTTTTTATTCCACTATGGAGTGCCTCATTTGTCTTTCTCAGGAGAAAATGTAATAAAAATTAGAGAATTTGGTTCAGAGGATATATCATGGACAGTTAAAACAATCCTAGAATAACAATTTCTTATGAAAATTATATCAGAACTACATTTTTCTAGGAATTTATATATTTTTCTAGAAATATATACATATTTATATAATTAAGTACCCCAATTTTTATTCTCTTTGACCTCTTCATCAGTAGATTAATAATATGTAAAGAGAGAGCAATGTAGCTAAAACAGACAAAAGACCACGTCTTTTAGTATAATTAACTACAGAATCCAGAGGATAAATTTCATAGTACCATTAATAGTATACCTTTATTCAAGAGGAGACAAAAAGAGCTGGTGCCATCTTTATTGCTCATGAAAAACTCATTTTTTTCTACCAGAAAGAAAAGTGATAAAAATTGATTTGATACAGTCCTTTTAATTAAAAAAAAGATAAGTCTCTGCTGTGGGGAAAAAATTCGATATCGCAGCCATATTTACATATGTTGGATTCTAGAAGTACAGATTTAGGCTGCCCTTGAGTGGTCAGATTTATTTCTGTGAGGATAATCTGGGAAACCCCTGTACAAATATAAATCATTGTGGGATTCAGGGTGGCAACAGGCCTGACACAGAGTCTGTTGATTTTACACATGTACATGTATTATTTTGACCAAAACTTTAAATGCTATCAAAATGTTTAAAAATGTTCAGATCAAAAGTAAATTCTCATTTCCAGGTAGGCCTGCAAAATGGGATGCATAACCACCTTTGTCACCTGCTTTGTCAATGGCAAAGGCTCTCTGTAAACATCTCAAAATGCCCCGTTTCAGTTAACCAGTCCACCCAGGCTTTGGGGGGTCAAGGGGTCAAACATCTATGCAACTGTTTAAGCTGGCCCACAAGTGCAGCCCAGAGATAAAGCAAGAAAAGCAGAAGCTGTTGTCTGAGGCTAGAAGAAAGCTGCCTGCAAAGGGGACGTCCCCACTGAGACCACCTGTGCTTTGAGCAGGTATTAATACTGCCACCACCTTGTGGAGAGTCAGAAGGCAATTGCACACACATGGATCCCAATGAGCGAGTCCTCCTGCCTGCCTTGTGCTGTAACATGGGAGTTCCCTAGTTCACTATCAAGGGAAAAGCCACGCCTGGATATCTTGTCCACGGAAAGACCAGCACCAACCATCACCTTCACACAGGTTAACTGGGAAGAAAAAGGAACTCTGACTAAGCTGGTGGAAGCTGTCAGGACCCGTTGCAATGGCAGATATAATAAGATCCACCATCATTGGGAGGCAACATCAGAGGTCCAAAATCCGTGGCTCTCATTGCCAAGCTGGAAATGCAAAGGCTAAAGAACTTGCTACCAAACTTGGATAAAAGTACAATGTTAACTTCTCTGTACATAAAAATACAAATTATCCTTCAAAACAAATCCAGTCTCATGACAATCTCTTCACTCTCTAACTTTGCATAGTTCCATATCCTAGAACACATAAACTCAGGCTTGAACACTTATGTATTGCACATTGTTTTTAATTGGGTTAATGTGGGTGACCTGTCTTCTCTAGTTAAGTTACAAACTGCAACTTGTAGTCTCCCAAAGCCCATGAAACATTCTCTGTTGCTCTACTCTGTATGGTAGTTACTTGGGTGCCTATCCCTCTCTCCTACCCAACTACAACTGTATTGAGGGGAGGAAGTATATGTTATTCACCCTTGGACTGAATTGATTTGGGGCTAAGGTCATTTTGTTGTTGTTGTTCTTGTTTATATCACCAAAGTTCCTAGGACAGTTCTGCTCACACAATAACAATATAGAGACAAATGAGCAATGCCAAAATAGGGCCCCCAGGAACTCCATCATGTGCCCACATCCACAGCAGATATCAATCTCCTTGCTCCTGGGACTATCTCAACACTACAAGTAGTGAATGGGTTAGTAGTTCTCAATTCTACCATGGTTGTAAGACCACTTATAAGAGTCAGTATAACACTAGCCTGTGCTATAGTAACAAATAAATGCTGACATTTCAAAGACTTATCAAAGCAAAAGTTTCTTTCTCCTTCATAAAATGTCTAATGCTGGTCTTCTCCTTGATACAGAGACTTCCATCTGTGGCTGTTCCATGTCAAAATGATCACTACCATGAAAACCGATACTTGTTTTTAACTGCCCTGGACCAGGAGTGACAAAAGTCCTTTTTACTCATGACCCATTGGCCTAATCTAGACACATGGCCCCAATTGACTTACAAGGGAGGCTGAGATCTAGGGGAGTCCATGGAACATTTGGAGAGTATTGCTGTCTCTCCCATGGAACTGAATTTTTTTTTAATGGAACCAGTGGACCAGTTAAGGAATGCCACTTGTATAGAGAGATGGCGGTACCAACAAGATACATGACAATGACGTAAGCTTTCATTGTTTCATTGAATCAAAAGCTCCACCACTTTCACATGAAAATAAGACCCATATTTACGAAATTGATTTTCACCATTTTCGAAGAAACTAAGTCCTATAAAGAAAATGTGTTTTCTACTTCATACAAAGCAACGAGGTGTGATGACTTGGCTTTGGAAGAAAGTTCTTAAAATAAAAATCAGGCTCATCTGTTGAGGCCGTCCCTTCTGCTGCAGCTAGCTATTGCCCAGTTTTCTATCTCTTATAATAGTAACCAGCTTGGAAGCCAAAATAGACTCTCTGGTTGTTCTTTAGAACACCCCATCTGCCTCATCCTTCAACACCAGGAATACTTCCAGAGATCTTAATGGCTGTGGTGGTGCATACTATAAATCAATTGTCATGTGGCTTCATTCTATCAAGGCAAAAAAGATGTGCTCATTTCATCATTGTTGCAAAAATACTTAAACTTTTTAATTTCATACAGCAATTTTTCTCATAACACTAGCTTAAAGACCATCTTTGGGATGGTAAGTGAAAATGGTCATTTCCCAAATGAAAAACAATCTGATTCTCTAAAAACGTTCCTTTAGGATCAAAATAATATCAAAAGAGAATAGTCACAAAAATAAGTTTTACATCCATTAACAAATGCATTTATTCTATTTATATGCACACAATAATTATTTCATTATAACTCTTTTCTTAGTCCACTTCACTAGGGGAAAAAAGAATGGCAAATCTCTATTTTCGTAACTTATAAGTAATGGTTTTATAACTTGTAATTCTGATAACTCCTTACAGGCTATGATGACAAAAAAATTTATAAAAATCACATTGATGTTCTCCCAATATTAGAAAAGTCTTGAAATAGAAAGGTAAAAACATAATCAGGGAATCGTGTGCAGTCAACTGCCTTCCTCTTATTAGTTCCCCCTAGAGATACAAATGGAACTTTTATTCGTCTAGAATCTCTCCAATGTGTTTTATGATGGCATCACATTCAAATCAGAGAACTAGGGCTGAAAATGCCAGCAGCTGGCAAAAGGCACAAAAGAGAAGTTATTCTCTTTTGAAATTCTTGCAATGACTAACATTGAGAAACGGTTACCCAGAATCAGAGCTAGATGAAAACACACACATACACAATATATACACTTATTTACCAACACGTATACCCTGCAAAAATGTCTATGTGGTCTCTTGTCTTTTTACTGGATTCACGCACTGTATCACTTAAGCTGCTTTTGGATGTGAATTGGAGGAAACAGAATCCAAATTGTCTTAAACAATAGAGAAATTAATTAACTAATGTAATTACTAAGTCTAGAGCAGTGCTTCACAAACTATCTGTGCTGAAGGACAGTTGTTGTATTGTTCGTTTTTTTCAATCAGTGCAGAT